AGATGTGGATAAGAGACAGATACTGGTCTCACAGCAGTATTTGTACAATATTGGAACTTAGAAATAGGCCTTAAAACGTATCACAAAACACACACACACAAAACAGATAGAAATACATTTTATCCTACTTTTTTTCTGTCAAGCAACGTCGTCCAAGTTTCTCTTTATTGTCACACGTAAAAGGTTTACATAAATTCTTTTTCCAAGTTTAAACATACACATAAATAAACTTAAGTATAAAATAATGTTAAATGGTGTTAAAATACAGGATACAATTTATTAGTTAATATAAAATATAATGGACAGTTCTCTTATGGCTTGCATTGTTATCGGAGAAATGAGTTATTATGACGAGAAAAACTAAAACTTGCTAAAACGCTTTATATAGGCTATTCATAACTAATTTGGTTTGTTTCTTGTATTGTATTTTTTTATTCCTGATGATACTTGAATAATAATGCGAAACGTCAAATAAATTTGCCTTGTCAATTTTTAAAGTGACCTTTATTCTATTCATATCAGGGGCGGATCCATAGAGATCGCCAAAAGGGGGAGGGGGAGGGCCAAAAGGGGCTCCCGAAAGTTGGGCCGATCGAGACAACACTATCCTAGGGGGTCAAGGGGATGAAACCGCAACATTTTTGTGTTCTAGACGCCCGAAAATAACATTTGTGGTGTTCTGGGTTATCATATTTTTTCTTTTCTTTCTTTGTTTTAATTTCTTTTACCTCTCAAAAGAGGGAGGGGCGCCCCCTAAATCCGTCCCTGCATATAGCTGCACTGGAATATAGATAAATGAGCATCCACATAATAATGAGTAATAGTCTTAGTTTCTTTAAAAAAAATTATAATAAGTAATGTTATCATCCCGCTAACAATTCAAAGTTATAATAACGTTATAATAAAGTTACAATTTTGTGTAGAAAACGTTATTTTTTCTTGTAGGACAGTAAATACCGGTACGCAATTAGAACGTGATTTCACAACTACATCTTAATAACGCTTGACCGATGCTGCACTGTCATTTTTCTGACATACCGTACATAACAGTAAACACTCATGAAAATTACAATAACTTTTTCTGTTTGCTGTTTTCAAATAATTCTCATTCTATCGACATTTATTACTTTATAATTATTTACAGCGCATTCATGTTCTTTTTTTTTTTTTTTTTTTTTTTTTTTTTTTTTTTACTTTGGAACTTGAGACCAGTGATATTGTTCACTGTTAAATATTCTTTCTCTGCATTTTTTTTTGTTCGACTTTGTATCTGTATATTTTTACAAAAGGCCTAATAGACATCATGTAATGTGATCTATTACAATATAGCTGAGTGTTTAAAGTTCTATGCTTCTAAATAGGTCGTAAAAAAACGTATTACTTTCTACAAGGTCCCTTATTATTTTTTCTCATTCTGGACAATGCCACCAACGAGAAAATTAATAATAATAATAATAATAATAATAATAATAATAATAATAATAACAATAATAATAATAATAAAAATAATAATAATAATAATAATAATAATAATAATAATAATAATAATAATAATAATAATAATAATAATAATAATAATAATATTGAGCATTTATATAGAGCTCTTATACTGTTGTCTCACAGCGCTCTAAGACCAACAATCTATTGAAACAAGTTAGTTTTGAGAAGTGACTTAAATTGCGTACTGGACTTAGACTGACGGATGTGAAATGGAAACCAGATCAATGGTGCTTGTGCAAAGAAACCTTTTTGGATCCGATTTTAGGTGGGTTTTTGGAAAGGAATACATTAATGTGTCCATTTCAGAACGAAGTCCTAGACGTGAGGGAACATGAGTTGATATAATGCTTTGTAAATATGTAGGAGAGCCATGAATACATTTATATATTATGGTTGATATTTTGTAGATCATACGTTGTTGTATTTGAAGCCAGCGAAGTTGAGTAAAAAGAGGCAAAACATGATCATATTTTCTAAAATTATGAACTAACTTAACCGCTCTGTTCTGCAAAAGCTGAAGACGTCTGATTTCTTTATTAAATGAGCCGCAAACAGGACAAGACACCTTACGGCGTTTTCACATGTTGCTACATCGATATACCTACGAATCTGGTATAAGTTTTGAAGGTTGTAGTTAACTGATCTGCATATTGCAGAGACCATCTGACATAGTTAACTGACCATCAAATAATACACCCAGTGGCGTAACGATGGGGCCGGGGGCCCTGTGCATTCATGAACCTGGGGGCCCTTTTTGGGTCCCGGTCACCAATTCCATCGTGGGATTTTAGATGTGCATTGTTATTCTAAATGTTTTTTAACGACGAATAAATGATATAATATGGATCTAGAAAATTCAGGCCAGGGAGGGACTTTCACAGTTGGAGAGTCTATACCACCTCAGACCCACCATGGTTGGGGCTGAGGTAAGAACATTTAGAATATGGCACCATTAGATGGCTGGAAATGGTACTTCACAGACATAAAATTATGAATATAATTTTCTTTTTATCTGCAGTTAAAAATATTCTGACAATTTTAGCGGGGCCCCGGGCCGGCAGCTCCAGGCCGGCAGCTCCCCCCCCCCAGTTCTCCACCCATCCCCCCCACTCTTTATTCTGCCACTGGATATAATATGATATGTCCTACAGTCGATTTCAGACACACATTTATGCTATTGCCCTTGTGGGGCTGGCATAAGAAAATGTATTATTATGGCACGTCAGATGGCCGGAAATGGCACTCACACACTAAAATTGTGAATATAATTTCTTTTTATCTCCACTTTTAATTTTTTCTGTTTGACAAATTTGGTGGGTTCCGGACCGAGAGGGTCCCATAGGGCCGACGGGCCCCTCTCCTTAATCATTATCATATGATATATGCCCTACAGTCGATTTCAGAGACACATTATGGTGTTATTTATCAACAAGGTCCTTTTTGGTCAGGGTGCTAGATCGAGGAACCTATCGGTAATTGATTTTGATTCGTGTACCGTGACATTGCCAATCCTAAGACAAACATCAGTGAACCGTTGTGTATAATATTTTGTGCCAGCAATGATAAATTCTGTCTTTTCTTCAAAGACATAACATATTCAGAGTCATCCAATCCCAAGAGTATAATGAGGGATCTTTCAGGCTCAGATGGATCATTTGGATTAAAACTTAAATATAAATTGGTATCGCCAGCATATAGATGATGCATAACACCATGACTACTAATTATGTCACCAATAGGTTTAGTAAAAAGTTACTTCAGAGACGGAATAAAATCGAGTATGGGACGCCATATCAATTAGTTATGGCGCGCAATAAACGCAATATAGATTGAGTAGCCCAAAATTAGAGCCTGGAAAACAGGCTAAAAGACGATAAGCGTAAATCACTAAACCACTACTGCTACTTCAAAACACAGCATTCACTTATTCTTATTTGGTTTGATATTAGTATAAGCTGGTGTTGACTTATCCGGCTTGAAATTACTAACATGAGCTGTTGTTGTCTTATTCGTCCTGATATTATCCGGCGTGACAGTATCAGCATAAGTCGATTCTTTAACTGTGTACTGTACTCCCTCATATGTGTGATTACGGTTCTGTGTTGAGATTTTAAAAGACAATGTAAAAGTTTCATTAGATTTCTGAATTGAACAAAAGTGTATAATTATCATATTAATGATATACCGTGTATCAGCTAAAACTTAAAATTAATAATCAATGTTTGAATTACTAACGTTATTACTTAAGTATTAGTAACCACCCTTTATGTATTTTTTTTAAACTTATATGATTACAGTAATTTAAATGAATAATTATATTTTTTATTTAATATTTGTGGTTATCCATTTTCATAACAGACAATAGGCCTATATATTACAAATTTTTAACAAATATTAATTTTAGGCAGCATTCAAAACTGTAACGAAGGTAATGTACTTGAAGGCTAGGCCTATTGAAGGACATTTTAACTAAACTAAATAAGAAGTCACAAAAGATGCATTCTTCTGGATTGTCTAAACTATGCCAATAGTTAATAGTTAAATGCAATATCCCTGCATTTATCAATAGGTACAAAAGGATGAGGACACACACACACACACACAAAAAAACAATGTCCATTCTACTGAAATTCATACAGCGTTATAAAAGGAATAATAATAATAATAATACGGTATTTATATCTCTTAGAAAATCCAAGAAGAAATCGAGTGAATTCACTGTTGTTACCTGACTAATCCGCTTAACCTTGTTGTAGCAGAACAATGCAGCAAGTAATCCGAGGACGCCAACAATGATACCAACAAAGAACATTACAATTGTCAGACCAGGGTAATCGGAACTGACTGGAATCTGCGGACCTGGGTATTCCGAACTGACTGGAATCTGCAGGACTGGGTATTCGAATCTGTCTAGAACTGATAAATACAACAGTAGGCTCCGTCATCTGGGAGCAGTATTTGACGGAATTATTGTTTCTGCTTTTGTCATTACATGACACTGTTTTTAATAATTAATTGATTGATAATGATATTATATTTACGTCTAAACATATCATCAAACAAAACTTAAAACAAAATCTTAATTTTTTACATATTAACAACATACACATTATGTATAGGTTGGTTGTGTTCACAGGCGAGTGCAGTCAGGGCGTGGGATGTGAACACTTCGAATGCAGACTATATTATGTTTGAAGCTTTTTTTCTCAGTTACGGTAATTTTAATACCTCAAATTCAGTTTACTCATCATTAATTAAACTATTAAATCCATAATTTAATTATTCTAAAATTAATTAATTATATAAATTATTTGCATTGGTATTTTGCTACTTTGTCGGGGTATCGTAGGATGATTTTTAATATATCTCCTTAAATAAGATATTTTTAAGAACTAATTAAATGTAACTCTTATTATAGCACAAACTTCCTATTAATTACATATCAGCCTATATGCACTATAGCCTAAAATTTGAAAAAAATAAAAATTGAAAACAAAATCGAACCTGATGCAGTTACTCGAAAGTAACAAGTTTCAGAATTTCCAGACTTATCGGTAGCAGTGTACGTCACATTGATAGATGCACTTAAATCATTATCCGGTATATGTATCACGTGACCAGAAGAATGTGAGCTGGTTACGGTGGGATGACAAGAGGAATCATCGGTCCACGTAGGAGGCTTCCAATACACGGAAACTGTTTTATTTTTAGTTATCACGTGTATGTCATCCGGACAAGATGATCCGTACGAGGGTGCAGTTGTATCTTGATCTGAGAAAAGTAAATTCCATTATATTCTGTCATTAACCCGTTGGTATTGATTTCAATATTTTTCCCATAGGCTAATAATATATTTTGGCAAGTCTCATTGTCAAACTCCCATTTCATAGTTACGACAGGGAGGTTTTTTGTACCTCGATGGTTGTGGTACATTGGCGCCTTAATGTTGTTTAACGTGAGGTGCTGTATAATTCGAGCACAGAAAATACATTCAACTATAGCTATACAATTCTGTCCCGAACGCTTCTGAACATCTCATACCAAACATAAAAATCTAAAGCTAACAATAGTCCACATACATTTTTCGCATACAAAACGATATTGTAATATACAAAGAACGTCATTCCAGACTGAATTTGAAAAGATCATGCCTAGTACAGTACAGTCTTCTTCAGTGAGATCGTTTGGTTCACCACTAGCGAAATCTAGAGGAAGAAGTGAAGTAGAGAAACGTTACAACAGACACGATATGGTAT